TGAATTCTGATAAATCTATACATCTCACTATATATGGAAGGCCATTTGGTCCTCGCTTCAAGAGGAATTATATTTTACTGTGCATGAATTTTTTTTACAAAAAAATATACTATCTCATATCATGAATATCCACCCTTATCTAACCAGGGGTGAATCCAGGGGAGGGGCCCAGGGCGGCCAGGGTCCCCCCTAATTTCCTTATTTTTAGATCAAACTGAGGCCTGAAGGGCCGAAAAAATTGTTTTGGAGACCACCCCTGCCCCCCTCCTCTTTTTCAAAGGGTCTGGATGACCTGCCCCCCATTATCTCAAGGTCTGGATCTGGCACTGCTAACACCTTCAATTTGATTATATTTAAAAGACCACTTATCCCAAGCACTATCTACGGAGCAATAAATGTTACTGAAGTTCGAATTTAAATTTACTAAGCTATAGCGTATAGCTTAATTATATGGAAATAGACAAAAAACATTGACAGACATTAAATATTAATCCTTTACACAGAAATAACAAAGTCGTGAACAGATGGCAAACGCTATTAAATACAGACGAGTTAAAATCTCTCTCTTACCTCCCAAAACAAAACCAGGTTAGCGCTATACCCCAAAGAAGTCCTACAATCCGTCTGACTGAAGGAGAAACTCGGCTGGGATGAAGAACAACTCTAAACCCAGCCCCGAGAGGAAAACATGACAACATGCAAAACACAAAATTGACCTGCAGAAAATATATACAGTTAATTTGAAAAAGTTACTTTAAATATTTAAAAATGGCTAAGTCGACAGGGTCGGTTCAGAAAAGCGGTTTTCACGGTCCGTTAGCTGCAATTGTTTAGCAAACCCAGCTGTTTTGAATGAAGTAAAGTCCATCGCGAGTGTAGGCCTGCAGCGAAGAACGAAACTGATCCATTCGATTTTTTTACCTGATCGGGCGAAAAGTTTGTTAAGCGAGCGATTTGTGTGAGTATTTCCACGAGAGTCACCATACTGAGTTCTGGCGATGAAGGCTCTCTTGAGGGGGAAAATTATAAAAGTGTAATGACTGCTAATAATAGAAAATTCACATGTTTCCGTCCTTGAATTCGTGCCATTTGCCACTTTTTGTTCCCAGTCCGTCGCGACCTTGAATGAACTTGCTCACTGGCAACACTAGCTTTTTAGAAGGAGCTCGTTTTTCATCCCTCCCGTAAATATTAAAGACGCTCAAGTTTCGTCTCATGTTTCTAATATTGTCATGTTAACCATTAACTCTCGATGTCCTTGAGAGATAATCTCGGGTTTCAAAGTTAATAGTTAACAATATTAGAACATGAGACGAAACTTAAGCGTCTCATTTACGAAGCGCCAGACAAGCAAACGCATTTGATAACCAGCAATGTTAACCGTCTCTGATCGGATTCAAATCCCTTCCAAAACGACTCATAAAGACACAGGAACAAAGGTAAATACATGTTATTATTTTATTAACTAATACAGCGTAAATACATCTAATTTTTTCTATTAGCTAATACAGCGTTCGGGCTCCCTGTGGTCCGACAGACAAAAATCTTTTGATGATTGTCAGGAGCCATTACATTGCATGATGCATGCATGTTGCCTGCGTGCAGACGTCTCCTATTTCCTTTGTTGCACGCGAAAAAGGGAATAGGAGACGTCTGCACGCAGGCAAGCATACATGCAAACTGTGGAAAAACCGGAAATCACTGTATTTTTTAAATTTCGTCTACCCCAGCCTCGAGTTGGTGCCTTTTGGCCGGCCGCCGGCCTCTGGGTTTACGGTCTGTAATGGACTATATAGTTGGTCAGTCTTTCATCAATAACAAAGGTGCAGTTCTTGTGAAAAATAAATAAATTTTCTAAGAAGTCGCTTCACGGCTGAAGAAGTAAAGCAGTGCCTTTCGAAATATTATCGCCCACATACTGTATCACAGTACCATCATTAATTAATGAGGTTAAAATGGTCTAAAATCAGCCTTGCTATTTTTCGTTTATCTCACGTTTTATTTTGAATGCGTTTCACCGGGCGTTTCTCCAGGTAACATTTACCTGCAATTGAATATTCAGCTTTATTTTAACCCGTTTTGAGTTTGAAAAAGAATGTCGCGTCGACGACAGTTTTTGTTAGTATCAATTTCAATCCGAAAACGGGACAAATAGTAGGCGAATTTTCATTGATATGCTGCACCTCTATGGTACACGCGGGGAATACCAAGATATGGGCGAAAATCATTTTCGCGTATGCGAAGAAGTGCAGCATAACTGGGTTTTCGTGGCTGAGGGGAGGAGGGGGGGGGGGCAAAAAACGCGAGTATATATGTCCTCTCGGGGCATGAACGCATAGAAAAGCGATCTGAAAAGTGATCCTGATGTTGGCAAAACATTTAAATATCACGCTCAATACCCCGGGGTAATGCAAGGGTCCCGGGAGGGAAAACGTGCTAAATTATGGGGCCCGCGTGCCCATTTCGGAGCAAACATATCAATGAAAATAATTTGAACATAATCTGTTGCAAGGATGGCAAGGAAGCACATGGATTGAAACTTGAAAAGGCTGGGCTAATTTTTCAAGTTTAAATGCCATGCCTGCAAAAATCACCCAAAAAAATATTATTATAGTTAGCGCTCCCAGGAGATATCTTGATATCTTCATCATATTTCCAAAGGAGCATTTTGTGTAAACCAGGGTCATAGGCTCCTGGTGTAAAGGTGATGCTACACGAGACGATTCGCAACGACGATTTATAGCGCAACACAGCGTTGCAACATTGTTGCGACATTGTTTCGAATAGTTACAACACTGTTCCAACATTACAACGCTGTGTTGCTCTAAAAATCGTCGTTGCGAATCGTCCCGTGTAACATCACCTTAAAGGTATAAGGCAATAAGTGATGGTTTAATTTATAGTCTGAAATGTCGTGTACGTCTCCAGGGGCCCGTTTCTCGAAAGTCCCGGTAACTTTTCGGGCCCGAAATCAAATACTCAAACCGAAATATAAAGAATAAGAGCGCGGGTCCTGGCAAGCAAACTACTCCATTTTGTTTCATTAACTCATAGTTTTATCATGTTAGATGCAAAACTATTGAAACTTCGATCTTCAGTGTAAACGGCGACAGCTTACCGGGCCCGTTAATTATCGGGACTTCGAGAAACGGGCCCCAGGCCCTTAACCCGTTTGGGGGCCTGTTGACGTATGACGTTTCAGACTAGAGCGGTGAGAGGCAACGATTCTATTCCCAAGACTCGAGGGTCTTAAATTAAGGGAGGAGAAATTGTCGTCTTTTCGGACCTTCTAATCTTCTCGAATAAGGATGAGAAAACTTCGGCTTTGTCTTACAGAGCTTTGAGTCTGTTGGAGTGAACGAACGAACCTCGTCCCCAGGCTTTCTCTCTTTCGGCCCCTCCCATTTTCGAGGAAACGGACTTGTTGGGGTCGAGGTTGGTGACAAGTCTCTGCAACTAGTAGACTGCAATAGCAGTTGGTTTTTTTCTCAAAATCGGTTTAGCGTAGCTTTAGAGTCTCACATGCACCTTTTGTTTGACTGCTCGGCGTGTACCTGAATATTAGCAAAACTACGGAGTGTTTTGCAGTCTATGCAACTGGCAACCCTGTGCTCTCCTAGCCTTGCTATTGTGTGGGTAACCTGTGCAGATAGAGACGTAATACATCTGCAATACAGAAGTGTTTGGAAACAAGCTCATGTTTGCAAAGCCGTGGCCGTCATCTTTGCTTTTATTGAGGTTAAGAACAAAGATTTGGATTTTGCTTTCTAATCTCTGAACTACCTTACAACATTCTAGTAAAATCCATTCCCTCTACAACAACCACTTTCAAAGTAAGGCAAACAAAACAGAAAACATTTAATGAAATCACAAACTTTAATCGTCATTAAGTCATGTATTTACAATATTTTCGGCCCGACAATAAACATTTGCTTGCCACAGTAAATACACATTCGGCGCTGTTATCAGGCAACCTCGTCATACGATATTCTTCGGATAAAGGCTCTTTAAAAATTTTCCTAGAAGTGTCTTCTTTGTACGTCGCAACAATTTACCATTTATTTTTATCATTTCATTAAAGATACTTTCAATCATGCCTCCTAGCTTCGTACCGGAAACGGCTGACAACCGTCACTTGACTAAGTTTTTCTTAATGGTGTTTAACACCAGTTACTTTTATATTGTCCATATTTATCTTCTCCTTAAGTTAAGTTACACAGGCGACTCCCGATAACTCGAACCCTCGGTAAGCGAGCCTCCCGCTAACTTGAAGTAATTTTTGCCTCCCATCAGATCATTTCTATATAACTTTACCCTTGATAACTCGAACCATGTTTTAAGCGCGTGACAAGTCGGAAAAAAATACCACGTACTAAAGTCCACGACATTGAATTTATTTCAAAACAACTGTGTTACCGCTTTTGTCTTTACTGTTTTGTCACTCCAGTGTTCGATTTCCCTAAAAGGTTAGAGTTATCGGGAGTCTTCTGTATATTACACTGTCACTTAAAAACCGCCCTCCGTAACTTTGAATCAATAGAGTACTAAAGTGTGACGTCATAAAAATGAAATTTCCGAAATTATGGGATTTGTCAGGATATTCTGAAAGAACAATGTCCAAGAGGCCTACTTGCCAAAAATGAGCATTTGGGGGCAAATTGCCGCTGAGATCGTAGCCCAGTTATGCTTACAAAACTCCATACAAACCCTTCTAAATTTTTTTGGGGTCGACCCAAAAAAAAATTAGAAGGGTTTGTATGGAGTTTTCTGAGCATAACTGGGCTACGATCTCGGAGACAATTTGCCCCCAAATGCTCATTTTTGGCAAGTAGGCCTCTTGGACATTGTTCTTTCAGAATATCTTGACAAATCCCATAATTTCAGAAATTTCATTTTTATGACGTCATCACTTTAGTACCCTATTTGTTCACCGTTTCTGCCTTCTTTTCTAAAAAAGAGAAAGTCTGGGAACGAGCTTGTCTTTGCATTGATGACTTTTGTCAAACTCTGCTGGATCCTCTCCTTTGTCTTAATACCTTTATGTCTCTCTTCTTTCTTTTAAATGGTTTATCGTTGAATCCATTGTACATCTTCATTTGCAGACTAAAAGAAATTAAGAACAAATTAATATGGTCGACTATCAACTGATTCAGGCCAGATGACCAGATTCCGAATGAATGAATCAAAACCCTCACTGCAATGCCTGTAAATGTGGGATCAGGCTACCGTTTGTGTTCTATTGTAAAAGCAGACAAACTTAAAAAAAGATTTTAAAAGACAATCTTGGATAGAATAAAATGGCAGAAGAAACTGGCTCTTCTTTCTACCCCATCCCCCGCTCTAAAGACAACGGGCTAGAGAAAGACAGGTTATGGAAAGACAAAAAATAATACGGAATTGTTGGGCCCTGATCACAATTTTTCAATAATCCAGTCAAAGACTAGTATGTGGCAACTGTGATTTCCCGACTCTATCTAACAGATAGATAATTATCATGAGGAACGGGAAGGACTGGTATGCGTTCAAATAATCGTGACCCATCCCCCTTTATGACGCACATGCTTCAGCTTCAAGCCAATCTTACCAGCGGTTTTACTCTCCTAACATAATTTCCAAAACACCATTACAATACGTTCTAATTTTCTTCAATTTTGTCCAAAAATCCATGACTTCTTTTCCATGCATTTTTTCTGTTTTCGAAATTATAGGGCCTTCACCGTGTTTTTATGTTTGTGTTTATATTTATAGCTCAAACAGTTTGGCTTAATGGGAAAAACATAGAGGAATTCTATAAAGTAGTTTGAATTGTGGCTCGATTACCAACGGCTGTTCGGGAAATGAACCCGCTCTCCAGCGCCACGTGAGACTGGGCCGGTGTTGTGTCGAACTACTTTATGGCACAGGTTTTGGGAGATGAATTTGGATCCATTCTCCTGCCCAATTTCGTAATAGCCAATCACTGAAGAGATAGAAAAAATAACGTCCCGAAAAGAAAGTCCCACAGGGCAATTGTATTGAATGAAAGATCTTACCCGCATGTATTAGGGTCCTTTGACGGCACTACTAAGGGCTTCTTCAATATTTTAGCAATACAATTTCTAAGGGTTAGATAACAGAAGTTCTTGTAAGCGATGCCATTCATGCCACAAACAGGGGTGTCGAAGAGTCCTTCGCTTTTCTTGGGACAAGGTTGACAACCAGGTGGTGCTAAACAAAACAACAACAGATCCCACAATATCGACAACAGTTAACATAGAATAAACGACTCACAGCAATTCATACACTAAAGTATATATTAAATATGATATCAATCAGTATCCTGTAAGATCCCATCTGCACTAGGGCATTGTCGTTTTGTTTTACACTGAAATAATGTGGCCAAAGATTGCGCCGTTTTCAATGCCTTCACTCTGCCTAGTTGCCCGGTTTTTTAGGCGCGGACGCATTTCTTATCAATGTCTTTAATTACGCACTGTAGGTAAATTTTGTAAGTAGCGCACAGAGTACTACTACGTACTGCTGGATTTTTCAACATTGCTTGCTCTTCTGTGCTTTTTCCTCCATGTAATTTCTCATACTCCAGTGCGGAAAAGCCAAAACCAATGACTTTTTCAGGTGACTTTTCCGGCGCTCGGAACTCGCTTATTCAATGCACTTGATTGGTTCATTTAAATGTCAGCCGCGTCAAATAGAAACCACGAATCATAGCTCCCAGTCCCTTTTGAGCGGCTTTCCAGTCAGACTAGTGTTTTTTCAGGAATTTGACAAAAATGGATTCGAATCATCCTAGAGAGCTTGCAAATCGTTTTGGGTCAGACTGCTATATATCAAATAGTCTAAAAACCGCAGACAGAAATTCTCCCGGCCGAAACTGAAGCGCCCGCTTTTTAATTTGTTAAATATATCTATACCCTAACAATTGTCTATAATCAGTTCTAAGTGTTCCCCTTCATAATTATTATCCCTGTTTTCCGGTATTGTTTTTCGATACGATAATGTTAAGTTTTCACATCATACCACGCAGGTAGACTTGGAGGTAAAATGGAGTAGAATTCGTACAATATACCACAAGTTACAAAAGCAGCGCAATATCCTCGTCTAATCTCGAATATAACTTACATGTTCACTTAACAAAATATCCGCTCACTCAAATTGTGTTTTTTTTTACTTCCGGGGTCTATTCAGGCTTCGTAAGGAAAGTAATTAAAAATCACAGTTGTCGCTTACAAAAAATAACGACAACATGTGGCGAGGAAGACAACCGAGTCAAATTGTCAAATATAAAACGTTTCAGTTTATAACACCATTAAGTTGAGGAAATAGAGCCATGTTTAATAACGCTTTTATGATCTTTCGTATTTGCGCAGTTAATTCAGTCTATGTTTAAAGAGAATTTTATCCTTTCAAGCCTTTAAGATAAGGTCACAAATCAATTCCACGACCATATTGACATATTTCCCATCGTGAAACAAGTCTAGCGGTCAAGAAAACACACGCGGTCCGACTGCAGTGATGTAATTTTGCATCTCAAAGATCCTAACTCTTTTTATCTCGATATCACGACAGCAATAAGAATCAAAGAGCAAAAATACAAAAAAAAGGCTGAAGTAATTCTTACCTTTTTCGCCCCAGAATGTTTCGTGGCGAACGCACAGTGTTTTTTGAAGCACCGCAGTTAAAACAAAGACGAAACTAAAAACAAGACGCCACAAATCTGCCATATCTTAGGTCATTTGTGACAAAGCAAGTTAAGGCAGAATTTGCAGGCAAATATATCTATATGAGCTTAAAGTTGGCCAGCAAAACGGAGATATTTTTGTTGTGTACTTCTCAGATCGGAAGGCTTCTTTAGAGGCATGCGCGTAGAGTGGGTTTCCGGCGATTAATTTTTAAAGCAACGTGTACAAAACAACAAGAATTTGACATGCTACATCAATCGAACGATAGAGGTTGTTTAAACAACAATGACGCCTGAAGGAAACAAGTAAACCAGGAATTTATTTAAACGATTTGGTGATCTGCCTAATACAAACAGCTAAGCTAAGCCACTGTGCAGTTGCAGATATTTAGGGCCGCAAAACGTAAGAAAATGTGCCGCCGGCACAAGGCAGGTCCTTTCGCCTTCAGTTTTCATTTGTCGACCGCTCCACTCTTCTAGAGCACCTTAGACAGGATATGATCAGTAGTATTAAAAAAATGACTGAATGACACACGGTTTTGAACCTTATAATACTTGGGATCTCTTAACACAACGAAAAATTGATACACCGACAGTAAAAACCAGTCTAAAAGCCACCTGCCAATATTCCAACTTTTATTCGTTACTGAGTAGAAATTCACTTATAGAAAGTCTTCTCATATCAACTACCTCTCAACAAGATATTGAAAACCTCCGTTTGTTATCTTTCTTACATACTGATCTACGTTTTTCTCTCTACGCATCAGCCGCGTTTTGCTCACCCAATTTCGTGTAGTTATTCACCCAAATCCTGCAACTGAAGTGACCGCGCCCCGACTGACTTGTAAACGTCCAAGCTAAACGGCTGGGAGGTTTCCATTTCAACAGATAAGTTCCTGACCTGGCTTCCTATTTTCTATACATTAAAAACATCCAATTAAGGCCGGGTGTGTCTTCCAGGCGCCACGACACGAAGGAAGTTTGTTAAAGAAGGTAGATTTTAATTCTTTTACTAAACAAAAAAAGGGTCCCTCCAAAAAAATTCAGGAAAATCCATAACTTTTTATGTTTTTAGAGATTTAAAACAAAAGGTACCATTTGTAAGTTCTACAGAACATTCGGCGTTATTGACCAATCATGAGGTGAAGATTGCTGGGTATTGTCCAAAGTTCTACCTCCTTTCCTTTCTCTTTTCTTTTCCGAATAGTGTTGAGAATATGCAAGTTGATATTAGGCTAGCTCAATTCTTGGGCGAATGCATGGCTACACTAAGGGTTGCGCGATTGTTAACTCTTGGGTCTGTGGCTGAAATCTTATACAGTAAACAATATGTGACATCCCTTATTTCTTGGCTAGCTCCTCAAACGGGCAAGATGAAGCAAGTCCTGTGTTTTGATAGGCCACCCGAGCTGGCATGATCGGCCTCCTGCACGGGATCACGCCGCTTTGTCCCGCAAGAAGAGATAGGTGTCAGTGAAACGCCGGGTCGGGGCCATGCCTGGGCTAGCCTCCCACGCAGGCGTTAAAAACGCCTGCTTGGGAGGCTAGGCCTGGGCCGGGGTCAGGGTCAGGGTCTATCTTTCTTAAAAAGTATGCTGTTTTAGGGTTAGGGTTAGGATTATGTTAGGGTTAGGGTTAGTGTGTCAACCCAAACCCTAGCCCTAAAACAGCATTCAACATTTTGATTGTAGTTTGATTTACACTCTGTTTTCGACTGACAAAAGAAGGCGTTGGCGGTGACGGAAACGGATCTTACTAAAACGGGTAACGGGGTGTGGGAACAAGTACGGGCAACGGTAAAATGAAAAAAAGGAAGACAACTTAACTTGAACCCTAGTCCTATCTTTAACTTTATTTCCAGTTCCTGGTTTTGTTCCTATTTTTTATTTTCCCTTTCTGTCGTGCTGCTCCCCGTTCCCCGAATTTAGTAACATCCAGGTGAAACTCAGTTAAGCGGCCATGTGAAACTGGATCATCAGTCTTCAGGTGCAATTTTTGTGGTGTGACAACATTGAGGTGCGGTTCGATTACGATCTATAATTCTTTCTCTTGAAAACTACTTTCGTTCAAATCCGCTTGAAATACGAATAGGAGAAGCGTGTAGGGTAATATACCGCCACAAAATGAAATGGTGTTTCGTCTTGGCGGCACTTATTTCTGTATCGTTTCAATCTGCAGGTGGAAGACCTGTTACAGCAGGTGAGATTAAGGGCCGGTTATTTAAACGTTATTGTAGCCAGTGTTGAACAAAACCCCGTTCTAAGCCATTTTCAGTTTGCCAAACACTTTCATAAGAAAAAACCGTTTATCGTGAACAGTATCTTGACGGCCTCAGTAAAGCATAGACTACAAAGGCACTTGTCTTCTTGAAATGACCCACTAAGCGGAGGAGATCTGGAAGTCCAAAGATTTGTTTAACCGCGGCCTAATATAATTAGACTTTGTTAAAATAACCGACCATAAGAGGTTTAAGCTCCGTTTACCTCTTAATTGTCGTCAATTGACACGACTGATTTTTGTTACTACACAAAGGGCTAGGGAAAAGTAGTGAAGTGTCTTTTGTTCGTATAGGTTGGAAATGACGAAAAAAGGAAAATACCATTTGGTCAATTTTATGTAAATGAGGCCTCAACAAAAGAGTCCATCGATAATTAAATTGTGATTTAAAGTCATATCCAAATGTATTTGGCACGGGTAACAAAAAAGGTATTTTCCCTATGAATTTCTTTTTGTAAGCAATAAAATTATTAGCCTCCGTTTTTAATAGTGATAAGAGAAGGTTTTCACTAGTGACCGGCTATGAAAGTGTTTGTCTAGTGGCAAGAAAGTTAAGACAGCCTCATGCGTTCCGGTTATATATGTCTATTACTATTTCTATAAGTACAAGGAAGAGAGAATGAGCTAGCTCGCTTTTCTCCCTTGATACAATTCATTTCCCTAAACTCCGAGAATTAGCCTGAATTTCCGACATCACTTCGAGTCGCTCACTCCCTCATGTGCCTGCATGAAGGACTACGGCTAGCGACTCGAAGTGATGTCGGAAATTCAGGCTATCCGAGTATTTTCTTTCACTGTTTTGTTTTTGTTTTGTTTTGTTTTGTTTTTGGCTGCTCACGGCATTTGTATCGTTTCCCTCGGAGACCTGTTCACAACGTTCAGGCAGTCTCCTCTAAGATCTCTTCTCTTCCGGACTAGTGTGGAGTGGGTGCCTGTCTTTCTCTCGGGCAACCTCGTCCCACCCATTTTTTAAGGGAAAAGCCCTGGGGACGAGGTTGTCTCTCGGGAGATTCGGTTGGGTGGGTCTAAATATGACACCAGACCCTTTTTGTTGTTGTTTTAGGTGACTGCGTTCAGTGCACTGGATCTCTACCGCAATGTAATCTTCCAGGTCTATTTGGATTTCCTAAGTGTAGAATGTCGTTTGAGAAATGCAAGCTAAACAAGCCCCGTCCATTTAGACCAGGAATTCTACAGCTAGAAACAGACTGTTACTAACAGTGGGTGATACGGTAAAGCCAGCCGGACTAACGTGATGGGCGGTAAGGCTGCTAACATAGACATATAAATAGAGTATTAATTTAAAACATTCCTGGATTACACGCGGATCACTTGCAATTCAAAACCGGACTCCCCCCAGTGCGATAGTATTAGATAGAACAACATTACTGTGCAGCTAACAAAAACAACATGGTAAATTGTGAAGGGAAGGAAGAGCTAGCAAGATACAGCTCAAACAAAAACGGTGACGAGTTTTCTCCGGGAAAAAGGTGTTATGAAATTTTTACAGAGTGAGAACATTCTAGACGGAGCACGATTAAGATTTAAGTTTCACGCACGCATAATTTAACCGTTAGACTCTAGTTTCAAGTTTTTCGGGGCATGCAAAATGTTTTGTTAGGCAGAGTCAACCGATGTTTCTCACCCTGAAAAGGTCATTCTCTTGTCCATTGAGGACGGGCTTTATCTGGCCTTACAAAACCTTTCTTTAAGTCTTAAGACATATGGACAACGAAACGGCTGGAAAGTACACGAGTCATTTGGAAAGTCAGGGTAAACAATAAACCAATTTCGATGTATGGCTCCAAGGCTTGGGTGGGAGAGTAAAACAAAAAAAAAAGTGTATTATTAAGTGCTGAGTTTCCAGATGATTTCTTTTGTTTTATTCTCCCAAGTCTCGCAGCCAAGTATGAATTATTGGTCCATTATTATATTACGTAGTCTCACCACGATCACTGTAAAGGAGCGTGGGACCAAAACGAAAAAAAAGCTGGCCTACTGTTTTTATCACTAAAAAAAGCAGCCCCAAGTGTCTCTTAACCTGCGTGGCATGCGCAAAAAAGGGAGGGGGGTGGAAAAAAAAAAGGGAATTCCTTCTCTCCCCAATCCCCTCTCCCTTTTCCCTCCTTTCCCCTTCCAGCTTAAGACGCGACGTTTTTGACGCACGTCAACCGCCGGGAGTTGACTCTTTTTAACTCTTCAGTCGTGATTTTCAACAAATTTCTTGGGCAAATCGACTCTATAAGAGTAAAGACATGCAGCAGTACAAATTTGGTAGCGTCAAGGCATATTAAAAGAGAAAAAGGCTTACTTCCGGTTGACGTGCGTAGCTCAAAAACTCCCTAATTGTCTCTTCTCCCTACCCGTCCTGTCTCATAACATAAGGGACTTGCCTATACCACAACGGTGACTGACTAAGTCGACTAAGCTGGTGCTGAAGAGAGGAGACTACATACATCCGAGCTCACAATACCAGTAGAATTGTTCACATCAGTTCAAGTCGTTGTTGTGCGGGAACAGCAAAGAAATGTACAGAAAAGCGTGATACACGTAGAGAGTGTTGACATTCGTTCCCTGACGTTCCCGTTCACGTCACCGTTGTAGTTTCGTAAGCTGATCAGGGTATAATTTTGCCTCTGAGTCCCTATACGGCGTCTTTCCAGGCCCTCTCGGTCAATACATTTCGGTGACGTATCCGAGACGAACGGCCGGGAGTGCGCATGTGTGAGCATTTTTGCATTTTTGCGCGTGAATATCCTTCGCTTAAAGATCGGCACTATTGACACTATTACAAAAATAAGTAACCTGGTTTCTGTTACTAAAGAACATAAATATTGCTTTGAATCGGAAAGAATACTACTGTATAACGTGCAAGTAATTTCTCTTTTAGTTCATTTTCAATTGAACCATTAAAATGATAATTCTTTATGGATAAAAAGATTTGAAACAGTAGTTTGTTGACATTCTACCAAATTTAGAGACCAAATTCAACAGCCTGTCCGATTAGTTTGATAAGCTTCAAAATCCAAAAATTAAATTACATAAAATATTTCGAAGTGAAATGATAACGAGAAATTTATAGGAGCAAGCGAAAATAGAGAAACGAAAGATAGCTTTTCATAACCAAGAATAAATATAAACTTATTTCTCTAGCTTAGTTTCCGATTCTTGATTTGCTTAACCTACAAATAGTTTTTGAGATGAAATTAAGTTCAAATTAGTTTAATGAGATAAATGAAAAAAAAAGGCCAAAGGACTTTCAACAATGAAAACGTGCATAAAATAGAAATGCTCGGTTTACCTCTTTATCCTCTGTACTCTCCATGGCTGCTGGATATCTTTCATCAGCGCGGAAAAAATATTGCCAGCTCGCCCGCTTCCAAAAGCTCCGCCCCAAGTGAGACAAAATGTCTCACTTCTCCGAGTTTGTATAGGCCTCAAATCGGACCACGTGACCCGAAAAGCATCGGCAGCGCATAATAATGAGGCCCAGGGACTAGGCAAGGTATAATTCAGGAAGGCCATACGCTCATAAAAGTTACTAACTGACCTTCTGTATTCCACTTCTCTTATCAGGATTGTCGATCTGATCGCCAGCATCGTACGCAGGCAAGTGACGCTCAAATAACTGGATAAGGGGATTCCACCGCTCGGCTCGATCCTATCAGTCTCGAGATGACCGTGTAAACGCCCAGGGAATAATCAATACTTAAAAGCTGCTGGTCAGAGCTCCTGCCTTTGAGTTGAAAACACTTCTTTAAACAAACAACAATAAAAAACAATTTAATAGAAAGCGAATTCACTACTGACCTTACGGCTTGCAAAAAGCTTTGTTGTACAAATCCTGGCTGATAGAGAACGACAAGGTCTTAGGGGTTCCAATCCCCCCCGGAGGGGGAGGGTAATCAACAAAGTTTTATCGGGGAAGCTCCGCCCCGAGGTCCAGCCCCTTACCCTTTTATATAGAGTGTTTTCACATGACGTCACGGCGGCCATATTGGTGTCCAAAAACAATGAAACGGCGGCCATGTTGGTGTCCCAGGCCAGTCCTGTGGGAGTTGGACTCTTTTCTTATGCAAACGCTTTCTTTTGTTCCAATAAATTTGCATAGATCCTGGCCACGTGAGTGAAAACACTCTATTCCATTTTCAGCGGAAAAGTTACTCCTTTCGTTTACAGTGGAACCCCGTTAAATACGGTCAGCAATGGGATCCAAAAACATTTGGCCGTATTACCAGGGCATGTAGGGCCAAATTTCATGACTTAAGGATCATGAAAATACACCATACATCGCATTCGCACTTCTTTGTAAAAACTACTTTAAACAATCCTTTTCCTTCCTTTCCTTGGCCATTACACCACCACAAACAAATTTTAAGTGAACTGTATATCAAAAAAAGAAACAGGCTTAGCTTACTATATGGAATTGACATAACATAGGCATTTTAATTTTCTAATTTCGAACTGTGTGGCCGTATTACGTATTAACGGGATGAAAAAAATATGAAAGATTCTACTGTTAGAGATTTTAAAAAAAGGCCGTTGGCCGAATTTACGGGTGACCGCATTAACGAGAGATTTTTATAATAAACTGACAAATGGCCTTTTTCTTGTCAAGAAAAAGTGATCGTAAATAACGAGGTGACTGTATTACCGAGGTGGCCGTAAAGTGGGATTACACTGTACTTTCTTTTGGCAAACGAGTAATTGCATACGCACATAAAAATTATGCGACATTGGAAATCCACCTTTACACGCCATTTGAGATAAGAGAAAAATTTAATGAATATTAAATATTTTTATTGTCTCTACCCAGTCCCGCGCTCTGTTTTCAGCCTCGCTGCTTTGCAGTTACATCTAGTTACTGTTCTTAAAATGAAATCGAAGACAAGCAACACTTCATGCTAAACTGCACTCTTTACCTTAATGAAAGACAATATCTCTGTTTCTATAAGTCACAGATATCCTAATTTTAACCATTGAGTGCAAACGATATGATACTTTTCTCTTCAGTTATGTAGATCCCTTTGTCTGCAAGAAACTTGGCCATTTATTTTATTTTTCTGGCCTTCGAAAAACGTGAAAGTAGATCAGTAAACATAGCTACTCAGGCCCGTAGGAACGAATTTGAAAGTGAGAGGGCACGACTGTCGTGGGCTGATACCTCTTGATCTTCTCTCCCGCCAAATCCGTCAGAGAAAGTCTAAACAGTCAAACCCCGTTATAATGATACGGACACTGAGGGTGTCCGTATTAAGCGGGTTGAGTTTAGAGAAAATGTAGGACTTTCTTTTCCCAGGGACAAAACAAACTGTCCATCAGAACGGGGTGTCCATATAAAGTGGGTGTCCGTAAAGCGGGGTTTCGCTCTAATGCACTGGGCCATTTATTAAATACTTTTAGGTATAGTTTATTTCCACTTTCAGGCTATCTTTAAGCAATGTTTTAAAACCTGTATTGTAGTTAAAAAAACCTATGAACTGCTACGTAACATTTGATCAATACCTCTATTCTGAAATGACGACAATTAATATTAGCCGAGTATAATACAAATATCACAGGGGCACCCAACGACAATTTTCGGAAAATATCTTTTCGGAAGACGATTTGATATCTAGAATTTTCGAAACATTTTTTCCAAAATTTCTTGCTTGTCATCCTCTCCTAGGATTTTCGAACATCTAAAAAATGGTATAATTGCCCATTTTTAACCGATTTTTTACCCTAAAAGGGTTACCTACAATTTTCGGGAGCCTTTTTTCTGGCTGAAATTTTCGAAAAGGTAAGTTTTGATCCCTATAATTTTCGAATCACTAGACTTTCAGCTGGGAAATTCGAACAGATGAAAAATTTTAGGGGATAAAAATATGCCTATATCTACCGTTTTAATACTAAAATACGTTTAACAATGCTATGTTTGAGTGGTTTTGAACTATATTCTCGTTGGGTGCCCCTGATATCATAGACAGGCTCAGTACCAGACGATAGAAAAAAGGGTACCATATTATTGCGACAGTTGAGGCTATGGAATTTATCGACAAACCAGCCTGACCACAGTGGTTGTAAATTAGTAAAAATGTACTAATTAGGTAAATGTTTAACGCAGCTAAATGTCCCGGCGTAGTCATTCGATAATATCGATAATCGATTACATTCGATAACAATCGATAAAAATCGATTAATTTTTTCCAAATTCGATAAAATTCGATAAAAGAGTTCGGTGTGAGTAATCGATAATTATCCATGTTTGAATTAGAGTTATCGATTTTATCGATAAATATCGAATTTATCGAAACTGAATTATCGTACCAATTTTCGACACGGAAACACCAAAAGATATTAAAGAGCTCGCAGAGACACTTATAACAACTTCCCTGTTCGTTCATCTTTTCAACAAACTTTTAGGTATACTAAGCGTTTGTCCTATTTGAAATCCGCTATAGATCCCTGGTTGATTACAATGATTTCTGTAAAGTTTGCACGGTTTGCAGTAACTGTAAATGAGCAAGATAGAAATGCTCTGATGGAATTCGTTCTAAATAGAGGAGGAAATATCACAGAGTGCTTTGAACCGGGAGAAGAAACGCGCGAAACCCCAGGTGAAGCGCACGAATCTTCGGCTTCTCAGAAAAATGGTGAAGGTGGGTATCATCTTAACGTTTTACACAACGTGACGTGGATAAGTCTTAAGAATCACTATTCCGTAATCTTTCCATTAATTTCTAGAAAACCAAAGCATCACAACAAGACCCCCAAAAGATATAGCAAATGATATGAATGCTTGGCTACATAAGAATGGCGTGTGTCAGTCATTGTTTGCCGGCGAAGTACTCGGTCGGAAACCTGATGCGTTGAGAATGCCACCAGCAGAGCTCCCAAAGGGTCAGGGAAAATTTTTATGGGAAAAGATGGAAAAGTTCCTACAAGATAAGTGCGGGCAGGAACAGCTCATCGCCCTGAAAAAAGGTACGTGGTTTAAAGGTCTATGCAATTCATGTTAATCGATTTCGAAAATATGGCCAGGTAGAAGGATAAAACCGTGGGCCAGGAATTAAACCTTAAATTAATTAAGGCCACGTTTTTTGGAAGTTCAAGTCGTCGAAACTGAACTAAGACTTATCTTGTTGCCAGGAAAACGAAAGTCAAATGAAAATGCAGCTTCAGCATCGTCGAAGAAAAGAGTGGTATTTAAAGAGTATCAGTTGTCTGGATTGAGGCAGGCCTTTCAAGGAACTAATGGCCATGCAAGCCCAGAGTTGACAGAAACATTGGCCGAGACTCTAGACTTGGAGGCGAAACAATTAAAACTAATGAGTTTTATAACTCTATGTATAATCATTTCCTTAAAAAAGGTGTATTTAGTTTATTTTATCACATATTATTGATGATAATTTTATCGATAACTATACTATTTAATTTTAATTATGCAATAGCCTTCTATGCAGGCCGATATGATCTGATTGCGTGATAGCCTTCTACGCAGACGTTCTTAGGACTCGTCACGCGTTTCTCCCCCACGTGGGGGAGAAAACGCGTGACGAGCCCTAAGAACGTCTGCGTAGGAGGCTAATCGCGTGACGAGCTCAAAGAGGTGTCTGCGTAGGAAGCTAGTCATTCAAATACGTTTGAATCATTCCTTATATTGATCACTTCTTGTTCCCCATATTTCTTAGGTTAAAACGTGGTTTCAAAATTAACCAACGGAACAAAGCAAAAAGAGAATATTAAGACGCCGGGTCTATTATGGATGACACAGAGGCTATGGAACTTTCTTGAGCTTGCATTTTCAAAATAGTAAGCTGCGTTTCAAGACGTTCCCTGGTTATAGTTGCAGCTTGGTTGATAATGACTTACTTGAGAAATGGCCTCCTGAAACTATCTTGAAAAGCAAGTTTTCGAGATTCTTATAGATTTCATTGGCGTAGAGTAAGATTTTGAAGGTGTACGCAAAGGGAAAAAGTTGGAAGTTCGAAGGCGATCCGAAGTAGGGCGGATCACCGTCTGGGGGCATGCTCTCTCAGAAAATTTTTAAATTTAAGTAGTTTAGGGGCTCGGGGATGCCATTTCCTGCGTTATCCACAGGACATTTTATTAAGTACGAAAGAAAATGCAAATGGTTAGAATATATTTTACCCATCTCCAGTGTTGTTGTTAAGGTACAGTGATTACGGGAAAAGGGTAAAACAGTGACGCCATCAAGGAAATATTAAGCAAACGGCGAGATAGCCTGTATGACAGCTGCATAGTGTCTGCGTCTCTCCTCGTCTCTAGTGACTCGCTGGCTAAGGGCGAGACGTCTACCCTTCAGACGGGCAAAAGACACCAATATAATGCGAAAAATTTATCAGTCACCTTTGTTTAATGATAAAAATGCTTTCAGGAAATCTATATATATATATAAAGAATTATTTTCCAGCCAACTTTCAACTGTACGCACGGGCGCGTTTATGGACGCTACGCTCCTGGATGTCATAACCTGGTTGATCAATCTAGACTTGATCCCGTTCACTAATAAGTCGAAGACTTCAAAATATATACAGCTGTTATAGTCTTTTTCAGTTCCGGGAAAATGTGTGTCAGATTTTCCTCCATCTATGTGCTTTTCTAGCAACACAGGGAAAAACGGACTTGAGAGGTTAAAAATTAGTCCTAACAACATATTTTTTAAAATCGAAAGGGGAATTGCGTTATGTTATTAACTCAGTCGACGGTAAAGTGGTAGTCTTCTTCTCTTTCTTTTTTTTTTTTTGTTTAATTTTCGATTCATACGGCCTTGGCTACAATATAGTTAGCTTTTTCCGTGTAATTTTAGCCATTATTATTAATTATTATTTACAATGATAAATGTTACTTTCTTTTCTTTTTTTTCCTTAACCTTGACATGATCAATATTGTAATCGGCAATGTCATCTACTCATGGAAATGCCAATAAATGTTGTTGTTGTCAAGACTCAGGCTCGCGCAAGTGTTATTGAAAATGCTCCAGAAGGCTTACCGCGCGCCCTTTTAGCTATTGTGACTCATTTGTTGAGGTAGTAGTCTCTTGAACTCAAACACTTGATAATTCAACTTAAACTCAACAGTGAAATTCCGGATGTTTGACTAGGTCTCCATGAAGCTGTAGAATGTTCATTCAACCGATTGTCTTAGTCACGTGATCACGATCGTGATACAGCGAACACATCTGATCTCTCTCGCTCAGTGGCTCGCAAACAGTCTTTCATTGCGAAAGTAATGATCATGGATGCTATCAATAAGCTTCTGCTAGCAGCCTCTGAATTCACAGGTTTCTCCACCGACAAGGTATATGTTTATTTAAGTTCCTGACTGGCGAGAACAATTACACATCATCTCTCTTACATTTTCACTAATTACTTATCTTTTCTAGATCAGCTTTCTGTTTTGCATGTTGTTATGTGTTCCTCTGGGGCTCGTGTTTCGACTGGTTTTGCACCCGAGCAAAGTTTCTCCGACGACAAGACGAGTGACTGGTCTTGTTTGGGGGGTCGCCCTTGTCGTTTTCTGTTTCGGATGGTAAGCATTGTTCTTTTTAGTGGTCTGTAATGTCTGTAATTAGCACTCATGTAGCAACCGTTCAGAAGATACGAGACGTAAGTAATCTGAATCACGAGCAGAGAGCTACAATAGTGCTAGAATAGTTTCAAAGAAGACCCTAACAAACAACAGTGATTCAATGCACAGGACAAAATAACAGATTCCCATTTTTAGATATTTTAGGGTATTTAAAGAATACCCACAAAAATCCCAAATTTGGAAGAGTGAGACAAGTTCCAATCAGGGAATTTGGTTGGGAATTTCCTGGTTGGGACTTTTCTCACTTTGCCAAATTTGGGATTTTTATGGGTATTCTTTAAATACCCTAAAATATCCAAAAATGGAAATCCGTTATTTTTTCCTGTGAACTGTTCTAAATCATACGGATTAAAAAATCACACGGCAATGGCTTTAGTTATTAAACCTTCCACCCAATACTTTGGTTCGATCTCAAAATAGCAGTCTATTAATCTTACCATAGTTAATTTTTCAGAGGCGGCTTATATAATTCGGCATTTGGCTGTTCTTTTCTTTCTTTAATTTGTATTTCTTTGCAAGAAATGTCTATCACCTCGACGCTCATCCAAACGGAAATATGTTCAGTAAGTGAACATCAACAAGCAAAAGGAATGCATATTTGCCAATATCATTAACCAATATTGTAAAACAGTGTGTAAAAGTCAAAGCATATCTCGGTTCTTCTGTTCTATCACTCCCCAGTCATTTTTGCATTGTTGCGGTACGCGCTTGTTAAATCACGCAAATATATTTCTTTTGAGTCAGTCTTTCAAGGTTTCCTTGCATGGCTTTCATTTGATTATTGAAGTAAGTCATCAGAAAATTCACTTGACATTCAACATCAGGCTAAAGACTATCTAGACTATCTAAATTTCAAATTAGGGAAACTCAAAGAAATACATAGACGTATTTCGAGAAATTCAAATAAAGGTGGCCAAATTCGCTGCCAGCGGAGGCCTCTTTTCTCTGGTATTCGGTGGGCCGGAGGAAAAAAAAACGGCTGGGTAGCAGACTATGAAGTTGCATGTTTCTTCTTTCCTTTGCCGATTTATGGCTATTATATGGGTTTCATTGGAAACGGTTTGTTCTTAGCCGATTTTATTTAAACCCTTTTACATTCTTAGGTTTCAGAAAAAGTTAGTTTAAGAAACACTTCCGATAACACTCGATTTTCCCCGTAAATTTCGAACGCTGGGCCATCGTGGATGTTTGAAATAAAAGAAATAATTTTGAGCCTCAGGGTTATTCTCTGATCGCGAGGGAAGTGTGAATTTTAGTTTCTCGAAACTGGTCTATTTGTATAGGTAATAGCATGGTTTTTAGTGATATTTCGAAATTGTTATACGTAATTTCACGAGCCGTTAGGCAAGTGAAATTTGAGACAATTATGAAATATCGCGAGTGGTATTTATGCCAAATATCACTACAAATCATGCTATTATTTGTTTATACCACTACCAGCAAAACGTTTGTAATTTTCACATGTAGGTATTTCAAATTAAGCTGAAATACCACTGCTCTAAGCCAATCAAATTGCAGAAATTTCTCATGTAGTTGTATAAATAGCTTTAAAAATTGTCTCAAATTTCACTCGCCTGACGGCTCGTGAAATTACGTATAACAATTTCGAAATATCACTCGTGGTATTCATGCGAAATATCACTATAAATCATGCTATTATCTATACAAACCGTCACCTTCTCTTTTTTTCCGCATTGCTTCATGCTACAGTTTATGGATTGCTTACTAATACGTCTAGCGCTGGGCCATGGAACCGGGACATCAGAAAAGGGAATGCTACCCTGCATGGCAGGCGCCGGTTTAATAGCTTTTTGCTTACCCGCCATTATTGAGCTCTCGAGGGAAACGCGCAAAGGGGAGATCCCTCCTCTCCTCGTACGCGGGCGCGTTCTCGAAATTTCTTCCTCCGCCCCCCAAAAATCCTGCGCCTGCTATAAAGACTAGTGGTTAGCTAGCGTAGTAGGCAGTTTTGTTTGGCGGGCGCGCAAATGAACGGGGAAGACGCGTTTTCCTCCCTGTCTCCATTGCATCCTCCGCTTTTTCCTCGCTCGCTGACTCAGCTACGCAGGCCACTGAGTGTTCGTCCGGTGCAATACCAACGTTATAACGAGAACGTCGTACGGCGGGATTCCGCTGTAGTTTTTATCCGTTTTCTGTGATATAAAAAGAAGCAATGGGTAAGAAATACAGTCTGTTGGTAGTAACATGAATAGAGCTAAACGACACAGTTAAAACGGTCCCTTTTCATCGCGTTTCTACTCAGTCACGGAACATCGCTCGCATGTCGACCCTTAGTGAATCCCTTGAGTGCGTAGAGGTACCTGCAAGTAGTCAAAACTTGCCAAAGTGCAATAAAGAAACAAACACTACCAACTCCGTAAAATGCGAACAGCCATATTTCTCCGGAAATGGCAGCCATATAGACAGAGAAAGACATGTAGGGAGCTAAGCAGAAGTATTTGAAAGCAAGATAGTCGGGATTGCTATTCCAAACTTTTCAAAGTTATGTTCGTATTTCACAATGATTCATGAGACGTTTCTATCGAGTAAAATAGCCTTATTGTTAGCATTATAGTTTAAAATGAAAAAGACCATCTGCAACAAAAAAGTCAAACGCCTGTCTTTAATGTTTGCAAAATTCGTAACCTGCGTTCAAGCGTTATTTTTTTCGGGGAGGCGTGAATTTCGGCTGGAAACGGAAGAAAGAACGCGT